TCTCATCTTCCAGCTCCCCAGATACTCCGCGTACTAAAGTTGTACTACAACTTCGCCAGTTCTCATCTTCCAGCTCCCCAGATACTCCGCGTACTAAAGTTGTACTACAAAGTCGCCAGTTCTCAGCTTCCAGCTCCACAGATTGCTCCGCGCACTAGAGTTGCACTACAAAGTCCACAGTCCCGCAGAGGGTTGCGCCGGACAGACACAAATCGCACTCTCGCCTGCACTTCGCGCATTCGACACGCACGATCTCCGCAGAGGGTTGTCCCGGACCGGGTCCAATCGTACTCTCGCCTGCAGTTCGCGCACTCGACACGCACGATCTCCGCAGAGGGTTGTCCCGGAACGGGTCAAATCGCACTCTCGCCTGCATTTCGCGCACTCGACGCGCGCGATCCCCGCAGAGTTGTCCCGGACCGGGTCAAATCGCACTCTCGCCTGCATTTCGCGCACTCGACATGCACGACCCCCGCAGAGGGTTGCCCGCGACCGGGACAAATCGCAGTCTCGCCTGCATTTCGCGCACTCGACACGCTCGATCTCCGCAGACGGTTGCCCGCGACCGGGCCAAATCGCACTCTCGCCATCTCTCGCCTGCATTTCGTGCGCTGGACACGCACGATCTCCGCAGAGGGTTGCGTTTCGTGGTGCTCCGGCGGCACTGCCCCCGGCCTTAAGAGAGAAAGTTAAGAAGAGCGAGAGGTGAAGATGTGAGATGTAGATGAGAGGTAAAGATGTGAGATGTAGATGTGAGGATGTGAAGATGAGCAGAGATGTAGATGTGCAAATGTGAACATGAGCAGAGATGTAGATGTGTGAAGATGAAGATGAGCTGAGATGTAGATGTGAGGATGTGAAGATGAGCTGAGATGTAGATGTGCAGATGTGAAGATGAGCAGAGATATAGGTGAGAATGTGATTGTGCAGAGGTGAAGATGTGAAGATGTAGATGAGGTGTAGTTCTGCAGATGTTTTTTGTTTTTTACGAAGAACCCTTCACAGGCGCTCTCGGGAATATCTAAATTTAAGCACGGATTTCAGCCGAGACCTATTTGAATCCGGGCCCTTCAACTGGAAAAGGTTCTTGAAGGTCCAAGCCCCTGCTAGGGAGCGCCCGTTCTCTGCGATAGATAGGGGTTCCAATGATTCTGCAGGTGCCAGATAAGTTCGATGAGTTGACTTTGCCTCTACCTACCACCAGCGACCTGCAGTATACCTAGACCTGCAGCAAACTGTATGTTTTCTAGGCTCTTTGATTTTGGTTGGTGAACAGACTTCGTAAAATCACGCAAATTTTAAAGTAGTTCTTCACCTCTTTCGACCTCATCCTGTTCATTGTCAATCCTGGTTGGAGGGCTTTCCAAACAGCAGGATTTTTCATTGAGGAACCATATTCCAAGAACCCAAGGTAGCTTAAACGTACCAACGGGTACCAAAAGACGTGGTTCTTTAGGGCCAGTCGGGCCGCTCTATGTGAATTAGGAGGTGCAGGGGGCAACAAACCTAAGACTTATCCTATTACCTGTAACAGTAACAGTGGATGATGATGGTTAGTAAAGGCCTTGTTCAAAAATTGATGATAGTTGTTTACTGACTGTTGCAGTGTTACGGTATAATGGGACAGACCCAACCTAAGACAGACCTGGCTGGGCCATGCCAAGCGTCCAACATGTTAACACTTCAAGCATGAAGTTGACTGAATTTGTTCACACCCCGTGTTTTGGGCCCCTTTGGCCGTTGTCTTTTGGGCTTTTGGCCGCTGTTTTGCTCAAGTCTTGCGTCGTGGCGTTTTCAGCTCGTCCGGCTTCGAACACCAACATAAAAAAGCTTGCGAAGCATAGGCGTGAGGCGTGCACGTGTGGACGGCCAAGCCAACCAGAAGGCAGTTGTTCTTCTCGTGTGCCACGGGGCCTTATTCCCTTTGCATCAAATTGGAAAGGCCGGTTGACCAACTCCAACACAAAACGCATCTCCTGGCAGCATTCTTTTCTTGGATCGAAGCATTATGACCCCGCTGGAAGAGGTACCCGATGGTACGCGAGCTCCTCAAAAGCGACTTGCTCCTCCTCCTCATCATCTTGCACTGTCAAAGCTAAGAACTATCAATTTGTCGAAAGTGCGCACAGTTGGCAGCTTCTCCTCGGCACGCAGAAGCATCATCGCCGTGTCCCTGCACCTCATGGTCCCTGCACCTGCCGGTCAATTCGCAGTTCAATAAAGACAGTGGTTGGGACGGCTCTGGCACCCACCTTTCTTCGAGTTTTCATCTCCTTTGCACGTCCCTCTTCCGACCACCGCCACCTGCCCAGCTGCACCCCAGCCACGCCGCGGACAACTCGCCTGCCGTCACCAAGGCGAAGTGACCTCGGGGCTGAGTCTATGCTTGAAACAGGGTGAATAATTCCCATCATTGGCACCTTCCCCTCTGTCTGTGGGGAACTCAAACCAAGATATTACCATTACAGTAATTCTTATATGTCCCCCCTCGTGGGCCATGTGGTTGAAAAGGCCGGTGCCCTCGTCCAGTTCCCTTGCGGGGTCCCACAACTTGTGTTGGTGGACATAGGCAGCTGGCTGTAGGGAAAGTGATGGCGCCTGCCACCCCCTTTGAAGTACGACAGCAATCTCCTCACGGTACACTCGGACCCAACAAAATCAAAAAACGGGGGTGGGATCCGTGGTACTACACCTGGGAACCATGCCATTTTTACCTGTTTGGTGGGCGAAGCAGGCATGCTTCATGACCACAAACATCTCGAGGGAGATGTTTCCAATCAGAATAACATCAATCAACCCAACTCCCTCGAGACTGGGATCACTGACTCCCTCAGTTTCCTTCGAACATCTTCAAACTAGAGGTTGATAAGTGGTTTTAACATCCTTGTCCACCTCTTCCTGTTCAGTTGGGCCCACCAAACATCCAATCCCCCCAAAAGCTCGGCAGGTGATCCACTTCTTCTGGGGGTGATCCACTGGCTGGTCTGACCGACTGGGAACCTCCGCACCGGCACCGTCCGGCACCGTTCGGTCCGACGCTCGTGCGAGGTTCCGGGCGTCGGCTGCGCAGAGCCTTCAGCAAGCTATTCCACCTGGGCTCGACGCGGACGCACTCCGCGGCCAACTCGACTGGACGGCGCGAGAACCGCCTGACGGCGCTCACCGACGACGCGAGGAGCAAATCTTCGGCCGAGAAAGCTGCGGAGGTTTTCTTTTTCTTTCTTTCGCACGCTTCTGACGTCCGGGCGCCCGGGCAGGAGGCGGCCGAAATGCTCGTGGGACATTTGCACTGTGAGCAAGTGGTAGAAAAGACCCACCTGACGAAGTGCGACATGGAAGAAAGTGCTCTTGCTTTTGGCCCGAGGACGGACAAGGGACAGTGACGTGTTTGGAATTGTTGGACTGGCCACCCTCAAAAGACATTGATTTGGTGACAAAACATCAACCTATCAAATATATAGTATATACTTTGGGTCTATCCTTATACCTGTAACAGTGGATGATGATGGTTGGTAAAGGCCTTGTCCAAAAATGATGATAATTGTTTACTGACGGGTAATAGGACGGACAGACCCTATCTATACTGTATTTCAATCAAAAGACCGTGCACCAGGAGTCACAAAGGGGTGCCTATTGGAGGATAGGGGTGCCCATTTTCGACTCACTTAGTGACAAAAAACCACCCCTTTGTGACTCCTGGTATATACACTTTGATGAACATGACAAACACATCACATGGTTACCTGCATGGCATGGACCCCTTGTAAGACTACTCTCCTCCACAAACACGTGGTGGCATCCACTTCCATGTGATGTGTTAGGCAGAGCGTGATCGAAACAAACGGATAGCATTTTACTCTTGCCCTTCATAGGAAGAGAGTTTCAGTGGAAGTGTTCCTAAGAAGGTCAGTACCTAAGTCCAAACATGAAAACGCATGAAGAAAAAACCGCTCTCACTGAGGGAATCGTGTCTGATCTTTGGGAGGCAAAACGAAAAAAAAAAAAACAACTGCTGGCGGCAATCAACAAACGAATCACAAACACTATGAGAAGAATCATGTATGATCTATACTACCCGGATTTGCTTGAAGAACTGGGAACAAATACTACATACTTCCTCTTTGATGGGATTTACCCATACGGAAAATAGCTCACCATTAAGCAAACCATGACAAAGTGAAGCCTAGCAACTGTGAAGTTGTCTTGCATCCATTGCAGGCAGTGCTTCACGATATCCTCGATGCAGTACTTGTCCGCAATGTGCATCAGCGCCTGCGTGCTATGACCGCCATAACCGAACAGAAAGGTGCCACACAAAAGCAAGCAGTATGAATACCCAAGTCAATTATACAAAGGATCAGCAATGGACGGATTCCTGCACACCTAGCTTTTTCTGGGTGGATCAGCTGCATTGTCTCATTGTTGTTACATGTTGTTACCCTAAGAATCCGCGCCCGAACCGGAAGGGTGGCAGCTTCGAGATCGGACCTGCTGTACGATTTCTGCTGAGGGCCCAAGGATTTCTTAGGGTACACAGTTAACTTCTTCCACCGTTCAAAATAACCGGTGATCAGACAAGAGACAATCGCTTTAATTGCGCTTGGGATGAGATGTTGGGCAAAGGGAAGGGCGTTGGTCGCCGTCTTCCACGACGTTTGGTCCCTCGCTCACAGAGCAACTTCCACGGCTTTGTCCTGGCGAGGGACGTCCAAAGTTCATGACACCTGGGGCGTGCATGCAACCGTGCTTGAAGAGAATCTTCGCCTCTTGGGGGTTTTCCCTGAACAGGGGATGCTCTGATATATGCTCCAAACATATTCAAGAAATGCTGGCTGTGGTGCAGCATAGTGCAGCCCTTATCCTCCAAGACTATCAATTAATCAAAGAAAAAAACCAACTGAGCGGGCTGAACTTGAAGCCCTACTTGCACTCCATCTCACAGTCGATCCCCACCCTTCACCCAACCTGTCCTGTTCGAGCAAGCAACAAAACCACCAACTCACCGTGAGCTCGGCCCTCCACGGTGGAAACCGCGTGAACTCTGCGCATTGTTTTTTCTGCGTTTGGCGACCAGATCATGTGCGGCTCGTTTCGCGAGCCAGCCCGTGAGCCTTCACGTTGCCCTGATCCACATGACAGGTGTTCAGGTAAACGAAGCGGATCATCTCCAGAAACACCTCATCTGACAGGGCCACGACCACGAGGAAGACTTGGTTGAACCGGCCGGTTGCGCTCGCCTTTTCTGCTGGGTGGCATAGAGATGCATAGAGGACATACTCAGATATATTGCCTATATACTTGGTGGATCTTGAGTGGTGGAACGTTTCAACCTTCCCCATCCTGTGAGACTGAATGACTTCTAATCACCCCCCCAAAGAAGAAGGGGGGCATAACAAGGTTGTTCCGAGGGGAATCATGTCTGTGAGGCCTTGCCGTATGAGGCCTTGACACAAGAAGACCTCCGACTAGTGCCACCAACTTCAAGACCTTGATCTATAGTTCTAGACTTGAGTGCTTCGATTGAGGAATGGAGAAAAAACACATCAACTGCATGTAGAAGAGGTGTTTGGTGGCCATTCTATAGGCACATTGATTAGAACTGATTGGATAAAGGAGTGGAGGATGTGGATGGCACATTCATGCTTAGATCAGTTTCCCACCCAACAGGCCTGGCTTCTTCAACAGGTTTGCACTGTGAGGATAAGAATCAAGAAACTTCCTCCGATTCTGGCGGCTCCCCAACCAGTCGATTGACATTTCATTCTTCTGAAGGCGAGCAATCCCCTACCCTGTCGAATTAGTATCTCTCTCTCTCTCTCTTTGGCTTTGTATCTCTGGGATCCTAATGTATGGTGACATTGGCCAGCTGTGAACAGCTCGAGAGCTGTGAACGTTGGAGATTGCAGTCACATATCTTTTTTAAGAGTTGGCCCATGAATAGAACAATGGAATTGAACACACATAGAATATTGCACCATATTACAAAACCATAATTGACTCTAATATAGGGTTTGTAGGGTATTGGATTCGCTTAATGCATGGTCACTGTTGGACTGTTGGTTAACTCTTCTGGAGTCGAACTTCCGATGGTTCGCTCGCCTCTGGCTCGTCATCGACCGTGACCTGTCGCTGTCAGTGCAGGGCCGGCTGGGCAGTTGACTCGCGAAGCTGACAATACTCTCCCAAACACTCCATGGGACTGCCATAAGACTCCCGATCAAATCGGGTGGTGCCAGGGGGTCAATGGGGCGGCATAGATGGCAGTCCCATAGAGTGTCTGGGTCTGAGAAATACTGAAAACGTTTGACACACACACACATCACATACCTCGAAGCAAACAACGAGTCGTCCTTGTTGTACTCTCATCTACATCATTGACAACAATGATATGAGGTCATACGAACCCTCTTCAGAAAGATCTCACCCCAAAGAAAGAAGGTTTGTACCCTCCCAAACCTCACCTCGAGCCTTGAGTAGTTGGTGAAGTGGAACAGGCGAACCTCTCATTACTGAGTAGGCACTGAGTAGCGGTTCAACAAAAACCTCAAAACTCAAAACATACAAAGCTCCGTAGCTGGCACTGGAACCATCAGACTCAGCTCGTTTTTGCTCATCCTTTCCAAGGCAAAAGAGACTTGCTCATGGACTCATCCCTGAAGTCGAAACAACCAAAGGGCCTGGCCAACATCTATTCTCTCCAGTCAAAGCATGTTCACTTTCAAATGTGGAATGCTCCAGGAATACTGACCCGAAGAGGCTTCCAACACGGTGTGTGCTTTCTTTATGATCCACCACCCCCTATCCTTTTTGTCCTTTTGTATCCTTTTGTGACACTCCACCAAAAGGGAAGCGACACAAAGAAGCTGCCCTAATTCTCCCAGAGCTGTTTGCAGTCTGCCAGGCTGTAGTTTCGTCGCGTTGTCTCAACAATGGTCTGGAGGCAACCCGAAGAGGAAATTCCTTTGCTTGGGTGCTACCAAATATAGTCTAGAGCCACAGTGACCCCTCCAACAGCCAACCCCTTTTGACCGCTAGTCGCCCTCTATTTGAATCGAAGCCAGGGGCCGTGGATGTGACATGGGGCACCGAATAACCTCCGTTCCTCCGTTGCCGGCACCGGCACCAGCCCCTCCTCTGTGACATCCGGCACCGACGTCAGACCGATTGAGGTCCAGGTCAAGCGTGTCACCGGTCCGAAGGGCTGAACTCACTCACCAAATCCAGTTCAGGTAGACGACTGACGACTAGACGACCGATCGACTGTATAGTAAACATGAATCAACAGTTCAATTAAATCATTAATAGTTTTCATCATGAAAGCCTCCGCAACTGGAGATTCTACAACATGGCAAAACCATTCTGGATCCACTCGCAGCATCTCCCAGCTGTTTACTCCGCAGCATCTCCTCTCCTCTCCCTCATCGACCCACGTCCTGTGGGCGCCTCCCAGGGCTTCTCCGACACGGGCACACCGGTCACCGCCACGGTGCGCGGGGAGTTCATGGGGCTCTTCATCGGCTCCGCCTCCGTTCAGAGCACCGACGGTGAGACGGGGTCCAGGGAGTTGATGAACAAAAACCAATCAATGAGGGAGAGATCAAGAGAGAGATCAGGAGGAAGGTCGTGATAGTCATGGTGTTTTTGAATTGGGAATATCTAATAAAATTCATAGTAATTCCATATATTAGCTCGATCTACTTTTGCACATGAATTTGGGGATTCCAATTGAATCTCATACGGTGGGACTCTCCTGGCACCGTAAGCTAGGCAACACACCGTCAGACGTGGCCATTCACGTAGACCCTGGGACTCCAGTCGACCAAAAAAGGTTGCCATGTTTCCCCCAGGGCTCCAGTCGTAGCTGATTTGGTCCAATCAGCAAGTTTGGTCCAGTGGATACCAACTTTCCCAGTGATATGCCCCAGGGCTACAGTCTTACCTCCAAAGAAGGTATGACTGGATCCAACAATGGCACCCGGATTCGCAGTCCCACCTTCTCAGAGGGTACGACTGGAGCCCTTTTTTCGGTTCAAGCTACCGTTGACGTGCCAATGTTTGGTCTGACGACCGGTGATCTGACATACGACCGGTGGTCAGCACGACCGGTGATCAGCGCCCCTGCCAAAGTGGTATCGGGTCTTTCCCTCCAACAAAATCCAACAAAACACGGAACTGGAACATGGCCAAGAGTCAGGAAGACTGTTGTCCTCTACGAACAAGCGGTGCCAGCCACTTCCATGATAGTTGGAAGGAGGGTACCTCTACCTGCACCACCACTATTATGTCTCCCAAACCCACCACTTGGGAGACATAGAGCTGGTAGACCATAGCTAGACCATTGATGGCATGTATTTCCCCGTCCCCAACCCAGCCATGAAGCCGTGAAGTCGGGGTGGCTTTAGTCCAATCCAGTGGATGTTCTGAGCCTTATCCTCCAATAATAGGCACCCCGAGCTCTGCGACTCCTGGAATTGGTTTTCTCCAGTTCATCTGTTGCTGGTTGCCCGTTGCACCCGGACATCTGCCAAAATCTGCCTGATGTAGACTCTTGATTAGTAATACCCTCACATGAAGAGGACGTTTAATATATCCATTCATGTCTGGTTTATATCCAAATGGAAATGGACCATGCCTGGATGAGCCTCCATCCCAGTGACAGGCCTCGCTCTGTCCACGAGCGGAGGAGGTCTCCGCACTGCCCTGGCCGCCGCGGCGTGGATCGGCGTGGATCGGCGTGTGTGGCGCGTGTGTGGCGTGTGTGGCGTGGGTCCGGGTGCCATGGCCCACACCCGACTCGAAAGGAACGTCAGAAGTTCCCTCAAGTTCCTTCATGCCATGAATTCACCCGATAAGTCACCAAATTCTCACGAGAAGGAGCACAGACTTCCACCTCCAAATATCAAACATCCAGCTGCAAGGAGGCTGGGATTTGATACGATTTGATTCTGTGCCTGCTCTGTCAATGCTTCGTGTCAAGGTTGCTTTGTTTGGGACCCAACATGAGGAAGCGCGTGCTGGTGGGGTTCTTGCCATCATGCACTGGCAGCTTCTAGATTTCACCACTGGAGAACGCCTCCAAAAAAGATCCCATCGAACGCGCTTGAGGACAAAAGTTGAGGAACTTCGAAAGGAGTAGAATTGGGGAACAACAGAACTTACTGTAGATTGTGGGCCCATGTGAAGCGTGTACCATCAAACTTCAGCGCGACGGGCGCTACCCCCGCTCCTTCAGAGCCCACTGCCGGCATCAGCGAACCCCTCTATTTACAACTAACAGAACAGAAACCACTGAATATGCAGGTGAGACCATGCAGGTGAAAGAAGAATATATATATATATATACATGCTATATTCACATCTGTGCCGTGTGTCACTGGTGACATCTGCTGACTTTTTCTTGCTTTTTGGGTGCAGGATTCCATAGGTACCCAAACATATACCCAGACCGTGTCATGCATAGCGAAACGCATTGCCCACTGGATGACCTCTTTTCAACCACTCCCAATGACATTGTGCCACACAGGTCATGTCTGGGCAGAATGGATGGTCGGGTACTGTAGTAGATGGTGGTTTCAGAGTAGATCGCATACATAGACCCTTTCAGATGTCTTTGATATGGAGGTCCATATAAGATTGGGCCATCTACTCTGAAGCCACTGCCTTAGGATTCCAGCGACCGTTGATTTAATGGTCTTTATTTAAAAAAAAATGTTTTACTAAGGATGTTACAAGTCAACCATTGATTTTAATAGTCTTTAAAGGCTGGGGACTGTACGCTCTGACTCCAACAAAAACAGAGGCCCTTGGTGCCCCTGGCGGGCCTGGTCCACTTGGACCTGCTCGGCGGGCCCCTCGGTGGGCTCCTCGAAGGCTCTCAACGCCGGCCTCGGCCACACGGAAGAGACCCGTAGGATACCGAGATCTTCCAACTGTGCAAGATGTGTTCATCCACAAAACAGCCAAGTGTCGCAAAGTCGGAAGATCCCTATCCCTCAAACTCCCACTCCAACTGAAGGTGTTTTGGGGTGGCTGGCAGGGGGGGTCTAACAGGAGGATATGGGACAGGAGCATGTTGGCGCCATTCGTCAATGGCAAAACCCCGTCAGAGTCAGTGTGCCTGGTGAGTCAGTGCGCTAAATCCTCACGTCGACGTCGACGTGATTTAGAACCGGCGATGGAACCGGCGGAGAATGTGTCTCACCTGGAACCACTCCATGTATGGTTAGGTAACCGTAGAGCGTCTGGGTCATGCTAACAACAAGTTGATACAAGTTGAGTAGGTTGAAACCTCTGAAGTCTGTGGCTAGTCTCGACTTGGTAGAACAAACATCATTGGAACAGTCTGGTCTCTCCTAGGAGCCTGTCAGCTCTGCAGGCAAGAGCATGTCAAGCTTTTTTTGACCCTGGGTCTGGGATCCAGGAATTCTACGACGAACCGGCCTCCTGCAAAAGTTTATGACTATATATTATATGTCCTCAACTGCCAACTCGCGCATATTATATATATATGTATGTATGATGTTCAAAAAAGCAGACATATTGAAACATGTAGAATCATAAAAAGAAGAAAACACATTGAAATCGCTTCTCAATGGAAAGTAGCCATGCCGCTGACCATGCTCATGATTCATCTTGGGCAATGGGCAAAACCTCGATGGTCCACCCGACGATGCAAATGTTTTAAATCATGAGGTATCATAAAAGCGCACGAAGATACAAAGGTTGCTACAGGTCTACAAACATCTCACTCACTACACTACTGAGATCCACCCAAGCCCAATATTTATGTTATTTCTCCTGCACTATAGGAGACTAAGCTTCACGGGGTCGAAACATGTGCCCAACAACTTCGCAATTGTTGATCTTTCCTGGTCAGGCGGACTTCACCACTCCCTTCCCATGCAAATGCCCAGGCCCCCCACCACGCCGCGGCCGCAGCGGCTTCCGCGGCGGCGGCCGCCGCCGCTGAGGCCGGTGGCGGCTCGCGGGGCTCCTCCGGGCGTGACGACTCCCGATCAGTTGGAGTGGTTGAAGGTGAATGTAGATTGTCCAATCGCACAGAGTGTCTGGGATAGGTCGTGGGATAAAAGACTACTCCAGCATGTGACCATCCAACCATCCTAGGGTTGTGCTAGCCGCCTAGCTCTACAAGTCCAACTAACAAGCGCACTCCTACTAGAGGCAAATCTTTCACCCCAAAACTGGCAGTGTGCGATTGCGCGGCAACCCATAGAACATGTACAGTATCGATCATTGCTGACACAACTTACTCCTTTAAGTCATGAAGAGTAGGAGTACGAATCCAGGAGCCTGGATGAGTACCACTTTTCAGAACGATCCATATTGACATAAGGGGATTCAACATCAAGATATATATATATATTACAGTACATACTTTTATATATCAAGCAACATCAATCCAGGATGAGCTCTCAAAAGGCTTGGCCACTGTTATAAGTGCCACGATTCATACATCCTTAAAGAAAACACCTCACCCCACGTCACTTCGAGCTCAGATTTCAACCATCTCACTTGGGGAGGATCCGTGGAGCTCTTGCCCCACTGGCCCTGCCCCACTGGCCTAGACTTCGTTCCCAAAATCCTCCCCCGCATGCTCCGCTCAGGCTGCGTGGCGTTCGGGGCTCCGAAACTGGGCGCCCCCAACGCTGGTATTCATGGCTGGCGGGTAGCCCGCGGAGACCGAGGTCATCGGGGTGCCTGGGCGAGTCCGGCGAGTCCGGCGAGTCCGGCGAGTCTGGCGGACGGCGAGGCGCCTCCGGGTGAGGTGCCCGGCGAAAAGCAAATGCAGCTGGTCAGCTGGTGTGGGTTTGGCATCTGACTCATATGACATCACATTGACTATGAGTTGTGGTGGCTGAAGAAAACATGGAGAGGTCATGGTTCAATCATATTCCCACTGGTGGTGCAGGATTTGCTGGGAATGTGCTTCTTTCGGACATCTACTGATCCAAATCTTCACCTGGTGAAAACAGCGGTGTAGCCCGGTGGATTGGGCATATCGATACTATAATACTATATGATTTGGTCCAGCAATCAGCAAGTTTGGTCCCCCTAGGGCTCCAGTTGTACCTCCTCAAAAGGTATTTGGACCCCCACCCTTGACCTTGCGACTCCCCTCGTCTCCAGCACACCGTGCCCTCGTGGGGTGGCCGGTTCGGTCGGTGTTCACCAAATGGCGGCTTTCTGGAACAAAGGTGAGCTCCTGTGTGGTCCACCTTGGCGAGCGTCGCAGGCTCGCGCGAGCACGAGCGAGCCAAGTGATGGGACCATCCATTCGATGTCCCTGAAGCCGACACCTTGAAGACACCATCCAAGGGGTGGCTGGACTATACTGGACTGCACACCTCCAAGAGATCTTGCCAGGAGTCTAAAACGCTTATTTAGTAAAACAATGATTCTTCCAGAATAGACTAAATAGACCGTGAATAGACTAGCGTGGTTGGAGTCTTAGGGATGTCATTGTCATGTAATTACTTTGGACATCATCAAACGCCGCAAAGAAACAACATGACGATGTCGTGAAGACAGCGAGTCGAGTCATCAACACTGGGCGAGTCGAGTAGAATAGGGAGACCCCCTCAAAGACCTTCAGGAAGGAACATCGCTCCAATTCATTGGTTCTTGAATTCCTTCTTCAAAAAGACAACAGCCACCGTGTGAGCCACATATCAACCGTTGCCCTTGATTTCGTCTCCGAGCCCCTGCTCTCCCTGCCTGCACTCTGCTGCCGCAGTCAGCCGCTCCAACAATCTGCGACACGCGACGGGGCGAACTTCCCACGACCGAGTCGACGCGCGGAGAGGGCCCACCCGCACCCAATCCGCCATCGGGGGGCGGGGTTCGGGCGTCGGTGTGTTTTGAGTCTCACCTGCCAGTGGTGCGGGAGTGTGTTCTTGTTTGTTTGTTTTGTTTGTTTTGTTTGTCTGGTTTGTTTGTGTCTTCACGTTTCTTCTTGTTTTCAGGATATGGGCCGCACTATGACAAAAACACCCAAAACAGTGGGGATGCGTTCTTCCATTCTTGTTTTTTCTTGCGGGGGTAGACCCTGGCATGTACTGACTGAAGTAACGAGAAGGATTTTGCCCTTTTGCATGGCGGCGGCCACGCAGGGGAACTTCAATCCCAATTATTTGGATTCACATGTCGGTCTTTGGAGCCAAAGTGCATCATGGATCTTCTGGAAAGCCCTACACCCTGGCGATCCGAACTCCCAACATGAGTGTGTAATGTATGAAATAGGGCGACTAATAGGGCGATATACACCCCGGCGCTGGCTGGGTATGCAGACTGGTCTATGTTCCGTACCGAACCCAGGAGGTAGACTGGTCATCAAGGGGTCCCTGCCTGGGAGGTCTCCCTATTTCAATACCTCACCCAACATGTTCCTTCACTGGACTCCCCCTGGGACTCCCCACACGGGCTGTGTCCGTAGGAGCAAGCTGTGGCAGCGTAAGGATTGGCCCTCAGCGACTCCAGGCCGGGTGCGACTTAGGAAGGACATGCCATGTTCATCTGGGTTTCTTCCTTCCATAAATAAATGGACGTCCAAGTCACCCGAAACCTATACCTCAGGATCAAACCACCCGAACATTCCTTACTTTTTTTGGCATCAGTTTGGACGACCCGGACAACACCCGAACACGTCTCCGGACGGACCTGACGGTTGACATTGGGACACGAATTGACCACCCGATGTCCATTGGAGAGTCTGCGTTCTTGGTTTCTTCAATAAAATAAGCCAAGTTGGGCCTGTCATGGGGGTTGGCAACGTGATGATTGCACGATGCTTCTCTATCCATTATACCTTGCAAGAACTACATTCTCAGAAAGGTAGCTTGGCCTCACATATTTCACAGGATGCATACTAAGGGTGCTTTGACCCCTTGGCTTTCTTTTACAGAGACAGCCATGGAACCAAGTGCAGGCTCGATCTAGTTTCCCCCACAAAAGCCAAAGAACACTCTGGTTATCTCGGGTTGGTATTGGATGGTATTGGCTAGATATTTGGTTGATATGGTTAGATTTTGGTTGTAATATATTGCTAGACTCCGAGTCTTCATCTGGAACCCGGGCATTCGCAGCTAAGCTCCCCACGCTGGAATCATTGCCTGAGCAGTGGGGGTGTGGTGACGCGACAGGTCTCAGAGTGCAGAGTGCACCGTCCCAAGTGCTCGCCTCACGTTCGCTCCCTTCGCCGTCTTTTGGGGCGACTTCCATAGTGATCCAACGCCGCTGGTTGAATGCCCACCCCAAATCGCCGTCCGAAGTGGGTGGTGCTACCGGATCAGAAGGGGCGCGAGAAAAAAGGTCATGGATCTTTGGTTTGAGAACACTCTCAACATGAGAGTCACCTCCTTTCGAAACTCTTCTTCACCCCTAGCCCGACGCTGGACGACCAGAATCACCGCTCCTGCTACGGTGAAGGCTCCAAAACCCCCTCGAACACTGGTTCCGTCCGAAACCACCAGAAAACTGAGGGTCCAATATGGCCCAATAGGAATGAGTTGCTCCAGTAGGGTTGACCTCTCAGAAGAGCACCACCATCCACCACCGCTCAAACCAAGGACCGCGGCACCGTGTGCCAGTGGGGGGGGCAGAGAGGAATTTCAACCGATGGATACCGTCATGGATTTGGACCGGGATAGTATGGTGGATGTGCGATGTCAATGATGTCTAAACTTCCCTAAACTCTTCCAAGATGCATCCCCAGGGCGAGGGGTCGTGACAGTCATTTTTGTTGGTAGAAAAAAAGACACGTTATGTTTGACTCTACAAAATTGCACCTCAGAAAAGAGTCTACAAGATGATACCTGAATTGGTTCTTTCTTTGGCTTTCAAGAACTCTTGACCATCAATGGCTCCTTGAAAAAATATATCAATTTCAAACCAGTTATGTTCATGATAGCCCCGCAAAGAACTACCCAGCTATCTGTTGCAGGTGGACTGGACAAGAAACGGGCAGCGCATTGCCGACCCGCCTGTGGCATGTCCCCATCCACTCCGCGTGGTCCTGGCCAGCGCGCGACTAACTCAAGTCACTGACTCCTTCGCTGGAAACTCCACGGAACATCATTGGTTAGGAGACCAATCTCCAACAAACAGGGTTAAGGGTTATCCACTGTTCCTGGGTAGGCAACTCATGCAATGCTGTCGTGACCTGGTAACATGTGCGGTAGTGAACGGCTGCAGGCAGCTGCCAAGCGAAATGAACCGTCACCAAGTAAAAGACAAACTCTGTCAAAAGCTGAGCTGGATCTTCTGGAGATTGAACATCAAATATCAAGACACTCCATGTATAATCATGTATGGAATATTCACCTACTATAAATATTTATTGACCTACATTGATCCTTGAAGTCACTCCGAATCTGGCAGAAAGTCTCTTTTTGGGATACTGACATCATCATGGACGTGGCAAACACCACCACCTGCTGGGTCTTCGGATGTCATGTTCATCCCAAGCTTCGGGGTCGTTTCCCATCCACTTCCATGAATTGAATGTCCAGGGACTTCATGTTCCCCCAGCGACCGCCCCTTCACGCGCAAACACGCTGCCTGTGAGGTGACACCGGGGAGTGCATCGCGAGGACGGGCCTGCCCGAGTGAGTGCCGCTCCGCCCGTCATACACGCCCGCCCTCGGTCACAACGGCAGTGGCCAGTGGCGTGGGCGCCCCTGGAAAGACCCAGGTTTCCGAGGACGAGAACCACATGGAAGCTGATGTCATGGGACTGCGAGGAAGACGATGTTCCTCTACAACCCGACGTGGTGTTCAGGTTCCATGTGCATCTCTTCCCGGTGTACCAAAGCAGAGGTTTTGAGTTCCATTGGGGGAAGTAGTGATGACTTGAACCCAGTGGGCCGGAAACCACCCACTTCTCCATCCACGTCACGACTGGGCCGCGGCCAAAGACTCCGTATGGCATATCCACATCGACCTCTTCTCAACCATCCCAACTGATTGGTTTGAAGGCATTGGAGGCCCAAATGGCTTCCTTGCGTTCTACACTCGCTTCCTCGCTTCGGGCACTCGACCAGTCGTCCCCGCCTCGGGCTGGTCTGTGCACCGATGGGCCTTGGTGAGCCGGAGCCGGCGGCGGAGCGGCGCAACCGCCTGGACCTGAACCCAGGGGTGTCCTGGTCTGCAAATGCCGGAGAGCTCGCACTGGGAAGGGCTTTCAGCCAGGTGACCCGCTGGCAAACACTCCATGTTTGCCCAGACGCAACCCTGGACCGTGGGTCGGGGGTCTCAAATCCCTAGGGTCCAAGGGCTGTTTGGAGACCCATTGACCCCTGAAAACAACCTCCCAAAGTAGGTAACTATGGCATACATGGAGATCCCCCTTCCAAGTCGCTCTCGAACCCGGGCTGTCCTATTTTTTAGGAACCCAGGCTTGAGGGTAGACAGAGGTAACATTAGGTAACTAAAAAATCAAAAACGCTGGAGCCACAAAGCCTAAAGAATCAACGGAAAACATGCTTCTTTAAAGAATAGACACTGACCTTTAAACATATCAAAAATCTAAAGAATCAGTGCACCCGGATTCGAGTCGAATTGGCCAACCCCCGCCACCTACCCACCTGTAAAGAATTCCAACCCTCAGGTTCCTGGTGGTCCATTGCACCCTGTTTCTCTCATTCTTTAAGACAACCCGGGTTGTCCTATTTTTTAGAGGAAATTTGCACAGGGATACATGGAGCATCATTATGTCATTCTGCAAAGATATTTTCTCCAGTGACTGAAGCATGTGGAGATCCAACTTAATCTGGGCTTGACTTGATGACATGTTCAATGAAGTCACGTGTCCAACTCAGATCTTTAGAAAACAAAGGCTGAAACCCATGAAATCGCCATGCACCTGCTCTCCCCTAAGCTCTAAGAGCTTTTGGGGTGATGTATCACCCTCTCTTCAGATTCACTCTCATCATCTCACATCCATTCACTTGACCATTGGACCCATCCCATCCTCTCGTCATTCTCCGTTTTCTTCTCTGAGTCCCCACGAGGTCCCATGGTAGTGGGCATTGGAGGGTGATGCCTCGGTCCCGGCGAGTGAGCAGGTCAGGTCCGACCGGTTGTGCCTGGTGGATCTGGTTCAGTTGGTTCGTATACAAGTCACTGGGTGACCCGTGACATCCCGTGACTCCAAATGTCCTGGCCTACTGGGATTTGACAGAACAACCGAACTCCTCACAGGGTAGGGAAAACAGACCTCTTTTCTGAGCCATCTGGGGATAAGTCCAATTCACTGAGCGAACCTCCCAGTCCACCATGTAGCGCACTTCACCTCCCAGGTAGGTCTACCGGTCGGTCTGGTTTGGAACCCATAGGCCATAGGTCGATCTCACGTGCATCTCCGAAGTTCGAACCCCCCGATTGAAGGAGCTGGGCCCCAAACAACCACCCTCTCAACTGACTGGACTCGACTCGTTTGAAGCAATGGACCGAGTCCAAGTCAGGTCCAAGCTCCTTGGAGACGTCCAACGTTCGGAGGTGAGTAGCTAGTCTCCGAGTCATTCGCATGGAAGTGGAGTTCACCACCTGACTCACCACCTGTTATGGTCTTCCTTTCGAGGTCACCCAGTATTTTACGCACCTGATCACCGGCGTAGTCCGACGCTCCGACCCGTCGTTGCACCAGTGGAACGTTCCCGGGTCCCGGTCGAAAGACCCCATGGAAGAAGGACAAATAGAGGATCGAACCGGTTGGGAGGTCCCCCCTAGAATACCAAACCACCTGGACCTTCAAGGGGTGTCGAATGGAGGTCCCTTAGTAGTGGGCTGGGGCTTCCAGCCAGGTGACCCCAAACTGAAGGTGCTGGCATGTGAGTTTTCAGTGAGGTAGTCTTTGGACTTCGGCAGGCCAAATACAAAGCTCCGTCCGTCCGTCAGCACGCGCTTTTGGCCACTCGCACAAGTAGGCGTCCATCACAGCCAGGATGGCGGAACCGCTTCGGAGCCCTTTTGGGCATTCAGGATTGGAAGCTGATCGTGGAACGTCCTAAGGGTGTTGCTTCAGGTTGTTGCAAACAAAATCATAGCTACAAAGAAAATGTTGGGCTAAGTGGAACTGGTTCACCATTTCTACCAGATCCAGGTCTTCCATGGTCTTCCTGTCCTATTTAGGCAGCCAAAACATGCCAAAACCAAGAGCCCTTTTCCAGTCAGGTTCCCAGGTCGGTCAACCGGTCTTTTGGTTTTTCACCGGCCATGGTGGTCTCTGCTTCTCGCAGCTTCCGTCATGAACCCGCAGACAATGCAGCACTCAGCGGATCGTCCAGCAAGGAGCAGCCTCGGCTCGGCTGCTCAGCCACCATCGCCGCCCGCGATGGGCGCGGAAGATGGAGTGCTCAGGGAATCTGTTTGGACCAGAACTGAACCTGGACCTGAACCCAGGGGTGTCCTGTCTGCAAATCCCGGATAGTAGTTAGTACAGGGGCTTCCAGCCAGGTGACTTTGAAGGTGCGTTGTCCCAACAACTAAGATACCTGGACCATGCCAGGGGTGTCCTGACCGCACCCGGCACTGCTTAGGGATCTCCCGGTGGTGATTCATAGGACAGTGATTGATTGGATTTTTTATTGGTATTTCGTGTACCTTTAAAGCACATGTTGCTTTCGACCAAGAACGCATAATTTTGTATCGATTGCCTTTCCTGTTGGACCTGATGGAAGGTCCAGTTATGCCAACCGGTAACAATGTCATCCTATCAACAACTGACAAAGTATAAATTATAATCCTTCACCACTGAAGGTGTATCCTAGGAATAGCAGCTGTGTCGCATGTGTCACCCTGTAAGCAAACAGAAGTTGCATAAAGGATCACCAATGCGCAGCGATGTTGGCTTCTTCATGTCCACATCTTCTGTCCAGTCACCAACGGGGTGCAAGTTGGGAGTCGTTGATAATTAATTAATAACCCAACATTTGGATTGAGCAACCTCTTCATATTGGGGCTTTATTCATCAAGGTCTACAATACATCCACTCTTGCTATGTCAACAGCTGTAGGGGAATGGAACACAAAACGACTGTCCTTCTTGGGGCCAATGTGGTCATCGGAACCCTTCGGTGAACACTTTTCACGAAGCCTTCCGATGTCAACGGAAAAGGGTGATCCACTCGGGTCACTTTGCCCTTCCGTTCAACCTCTGATCACGACTCTGGGTACCCCCTGGGTTTGGCCCTCCGTCTCCCCATCTCACTAGTTCTTCATCTATTCTCAACAGGTATCGAGTCGTCAGAATTGATACACATCAGCCATGGCCATGAGACACATGGCGCAAAGCCAAGTCACTCTGAATATAGTCCACCTAGGAAACACGCAGTACCGCTTCGAATGCCGACAGAAGGCAAACCCGGTGTACTCATGTTTTCAAAAAGCTTCCGGACTAAAAGAACCCTGGATGAATAGTGTAGAGGCCAAATATATTCAAATTGGACTCTCCTCAACGTTCGGCATGGTTATGGCTTGGAAATTGTCCCGACGTATCTATATACTTCGAGCAACATCGAATTCGAAAAAGCACCTCAACCCTTAACTCACCATCATCATGGAATGATACGTTGGAAGACGTACTATGAACCTTGGGTTTGTGGGTCGTTCCCCAAGCATGCATGTCAGGAAGATTGCAGCAGCTATATAGTACGAGTAGCATCCTTCTAAAAAAGGGGCAAAACCGATCACTTTGTGAACTCTCAAGTGCGACACGAACTGAAAGCACGGTGAATTCTTGGTTCTGAGGTTCTTAGATCGTTGGTTGGTGAATATGGTTCGTTTGCTGAGGTCAAACGTGATCATTCAAACCAACCCATTCGGGTCACCGTCACCCGTTCGGGTCACCGGTCACCGTCACCGTCCGTCTTCGGACGGACTCTCGGAACCCAAGACCTGCGTCAGATCGGTCAAGGACAAGTCGGCCCTGAAAAACATCACCCAAACCATCGGGCCTATAGGTTTGACTCATACATGTCATCATAACTTTCATGGTTCTTCTACGAAAACCATCACCAAAGCCAGAACTATAGGACTAGAATCTAGAACCGGACTTTACTTATAAGTTCCATTAAGTTCCTATAATGGTACTTGACTCAGGTCTCTTCATGAGCCAGTGGTGAAGCCAGTGGTGAACTGGGGGTCCGTGGAAAGATTGGCAAAGGATGGCTGTCGTGTGTCCATCTCTAGATTTGCTGGAGCATCCAGATGATCCTGATGTCTATCTTGGAACTGCTCTCTTTAGGTACAGTATCTCATCCCAAGCGCAAGCTGCAGCCTCTTTCAGACATGTCTCCCAAAACGTTTTGATCTCCAGACCAGCCCAACTCGCGGATCCTGAACCGTTGGATCCTTTTTGATCGAAGCCACTCTTGGGAAGAACTCTTGCAAATAGCCGTTGCCTCTCTTCAGCAGCTCCTCCTCCTCAATCGCATCCTGGTAGCCGGTGAAGAACTGGTCCAGCACTGGAAAGTCCTCCTCCAAGACATGACCTGATGGGATGGAAGAACTGGTCCAGCACGGTGAGGACGGTCGGTGAGGAGGACGGTGGGACATAAGAACGAGGTGGTGGGACAAACAGGTGCGACAAAACGGCCGGTTGCAGAAGAGCCCAGGTTTCTGTGCATCGCATAGATCTTCCAACTGGGCAACATGTCCGCGTGTTCATCTATACAGCCAGCCAAGTTCGGCAAACATTTTGCATAGGAGGTATAGAGATACCAAGAAAACCCGCTCTGAAACACCCAATGATTCCCAAACATCCCGAAGACATTGGGTCAGTGGATGGTGGTCCTGTTCTCGGCCTTGGCCCTGAGCTCCACGCCTTGAGCCCCAAATCGATTGATCTCTGGAACACAGTAGTCGGGTCTAATGTACGGGTTAACCGGATGAGTTAACTGGACATTGACATACAATCTCTCGGGGTCATGTCTCATCATTTATCTACCAGCACTCTCCAACAGTGCCTGCCACTTTCAACTCGACTTGTCGGAGGGTGCTGGTAGATGAACTTTATAATGATCAAATCATAGCGAATCTATATCACCACTGTTCACCGTCCACCCGTCCACCGGGGCGGTTGACCCCGGGTCAAATGAAGAGATCCCTTTTTAGGACGAGGATGTCAACCTAGATCAACCTTGCATGGATGGGTGAGACTTTGTTTGACTCACAGCCACATGGATAAGCTCAACCAGGCCTTTTGTTTGATGGATAACCCCACACAGGTGTCCGACGTGTTGTTTGGCCGCTTGGTCGGCCCCCTGTGAACGGCAGACGTCGGCCATTTGCTCGCCAAGTCCTGGCTTCTGGTTTTAGTAGTTTGGGTGAAGAGGAGTGTTTTGTGAAGCTTGTGTTCCAGTCTGACTCCCGGTGTTTGTGTTTGGAAGTCCATTCATTTCAGACTCTCAGTCGGGTTATAAGAACATATTAGAACCGAGTTCAACGGGAAGATTCTGAGGACATACAGTTCAAGATGGGAACGTGTCAAAGCACTTGGTCCTGTCTGTGTGAAACCCTCCACTCTTCTTTCATCGGACTCTCCACGCCAAAGTGGAACTTCCTGTGACTCCAAGCAGTTAATAGGTCTCAACTCGAGTCTCGACCCCCGCAAATCGGCTTCAGAGCCGCTGATTCGGACTCGACGGGTCGACGTCGACCCGCCGCAGCAGGAGCCACGTCTCGACACCAGGACGGGCCCCACGTCTCGCGGGTCCAAAGGGATGCTTCGTCCAGAATGCGGGGGGGGGTGGTCAATCAGTTGAGCTCAGTTCAGGTGTAGGAATTCAATGCAATTAAAGTGTTTTAAGAGATTCCCCTGCAAAAAGGACCTACATGTGGAATCATTCGGATGGTTTGGTTTTTGTTTTTTCATGAATATAGGGTGATATGTGGCTATATATGGGCCATATGATACTTGGGTGGCAACTCTTCCAATACCCCAGCTGCCAGTCGACTGGCCCAGCGGCCAATCGGCGTCTCCCAAGGATTGTGTCCCAGTCTTCCTGTGAGGTCGGACAAGGAAATCATCACCTGCCCGTCGAGGATGACCGGGATGACCGGAGCAACCTGTTTCAGACCAGATCCTTCAGATGAGCTGGTCTCCAAGACCCGGTTCCAAGGGCTCCCCTCGGCAGAAAACCATCCCAGACCATGGGCCTATTGACCTACATTGGGATGGCTGACCTGGCCATGGCAGGCCACGGGGTCAATGTATAATGCATGTATATGCATCATCTGGGAGATTCGTGTTTTTTTTTCAGGGTCCAACAGGGCTGTGGGTGTTCTTTTCCAGCTGATTTTTTGAACTCCAAGTGTATTGTCCGATTTGGAAGCTCTCGGGACAGTGTGACCAAAGGTACCCTCCCATCTGGTCTTGTATGGACATATCCCAAGAAGAAGAAGAAGAAGAACGACGACTTGTTTCACCATCGAAGTAGAGGTACTTCCTGAAATCGGGTCACCCAATCAGAGCAATTCCGAAAATGGTCGACTGGACTGCTAGTGCATTTTCTTTCTCCCTCTTAGCAAGCCTTGGGACGTTCGACCCACGACGTGGATTGATGCTCACTTTTCAAATGATTTGCCTAAGGAAAAACCGTGGTTTGACCGCCACAAAACTGTGGGTTTCTTGCAGCTTGTTCCTTATAAGCCAATTCTGGGAATGTTTTTCTACCACAAAGGTAGGGATGGAGGCTGGATCCTTTCACCTCGCCCAGGAGGGCTCACTCGCCCCAATCCGGGCTCCCTTCCCTCTTTTCTCTACGAAACACATCGGAGCAGCACCAGTCTGAAACTCAATATCTGAGCACCTGCAGAACATTCTCACTATCTTGAAAAGCTGTCCAGGAACCAGGAAGAAACGCCTTCCCCATGCCAGGGGATTCAATCACCCACAGGAACAAGTCCAAAGTACTAGCCAAATATCCATAGATCTCCTATCCTCACACCCACGCCTCACACGGTGGTTTTTCACTGTGCCATCCCGGTGCCTGCGTGGTCCGTGCGTCTGGGCCTTTCGCCACGAAGCTCAGCGTGCCCTTGGGGAACTTCAGCGTGTCCCGCGCGGAGCGCACGTCGTCGCGGATGCTCGGAGACCACTTCTCGTTGAGATCGCTCTTGGAGCCTCAGCGATGGATGGGACCGACCGAAGGGGACCGACCGGAGGAGTGATTGTGGCCACCCGCCGGGATTGTAAAATACCATGTAAAACCTCTTCATCATGTTCTTGTTTTTAAAATCAAGAAATCGAGATAAATCGAGTCTACATTACACAGATTTTTTTTACCCCATGAACCTGACCCATCCATTGTAAGATTAGTTCTTCCAGTCCCTTGGACGGTCGGCCCAGACGAGCTATACGGATCAGGTGAGCGCCCATCGCCAAGGATGGACCCGCCCAAACCCGTCTGAATTCCGTAATGTAATGTAGACTCTATGGAGACTCTGTAATGAATTTAATTGATATATATCAGAGGGGCTTGCAAAAATGACTCTCACTTTTTTTTGACTCTCAGTTTTCTTGTTTCTGATGCTAATGATATTGATACTAAAGAAGAGGGGGAGGAAAAAGATGAAGA